CACCTACATGTCGCCTTTTAGGTAGTCAACGAATATCCAAAGGTCTAGCAGATTTCCTTCGATTTAGCAGGATTTCGAGTCATGCACAGCTGCTCTGCTTTATATTCACAGGTCGACCAATCTTGGTTATCAAAGACTCATGAAAACCTCCCTGAGGGAACATGAGTATTTTGAAGTTCAACATTATTTAACACTTATCATGGTTGTTATCAACCACAACCAATACAAAAACATGAAATGTTTGGACTGGAAAGTCTAATCTCACACATCTTTTAGTCATGATTCTTAAAATCTTGGCAAACATACTTCCAAAACAATAGCGCCGTTACACATGGAAGGTTGTTTTTATGTTGTCACAAGAAGGAAATGTTCATTTGATACAAGAACTTTAAGGAATTTGGAACCACTTCAAAATGATGATCATTTCTTTGCTGGTTAAAATGAAATGTCCCAGATATTTGGTAAAGAAACAGAACGGTGAATGCAAGATTGTGTTTAGTATTGTAAAGTAGCTGCATTACGCTTCGGATATTCTTGTACTACGTAATGGTAAAAGAAATTTTTCTCAGAACTGACCGCAAATATACATTGACAGTGAAGTATGGTACCATCGATTAATTACTGTCGCAAAATATAAAAAAACGTGAATTCGGTATATTTAAAAGAAAGAACTTTACTCCTTAACATTTACTGCACTCACAGTCAAATAACGACGTCTTAACAAACACCACGACGAAAATCCCGGTCGCTGTTTGTTTAAACTGACAAGTAAGAAATAATGAAAATTAATTCAACCAAATTTTTTGTTTCAACCAATGTGGAAAGTGACTTGGCAAAAATTAAAGCAGTTCTGTTGCCTAAAATTTGCTCAGCTTTTTGGTTTTAAGTAATTACCACGGTATTCCAAGAATAACGATTCACATTCACCAATCGGAAAGTGCAGAAAAGAGACCTTTAGTTAATATCAACCAAAAAAATCTCTACTGAAAATAATAATCATGGGTTTGGTTTTGGATAGATGGCTCTTTTCGATAATTGAGCTATCGTTGTATAATCCGGTACAATAATATACTTTTTCGTGATAATTGTTAGAAAGCATGAAAAAATGTTTCGCCCTGATTAAGCAGCATAAATGGATCTCGCTTTTTTGAAAATAATGGAAATTTTAATGTAAAACATTAGTGTTTTCTTTTATATTTATTGGTTAGACCTGCTTAACACGCTGATTCCCGAAACATATTAAACAATGATAATTTTCTGGGAATTCTGTTATTATTTTTCGTTATTTTGCCCCTTGGCATTCTCGCAGACTGGAAATGCGAGCATAATAACTAAAAATTAATTTTTCTGTTTCCTATTACTTTAAGGGGTATCAAAACAAAGAAGACGAAAAATAATCTGAATCTAACTTCTCGCAATGTCATACATTACAGCTGTCAACGAATTTACAATGAACATCTCATTATTCATAGCACTTTGAATTGAAACAGCCATAAATATTTTTTTAGTAAAGGGATATGCGAAACTTTATTGACATATCTGATCCTTTTAAGATAACTGGCATCAATGAAAAAGCTTGAAATTCTTTAGTAAAACTACTAGCAGTGTGATAAGTGATGGTAAAAATTCTCCTCAATTTGGCCTGCAATCAAGACATTCATGGTGTCACTGGCAAATAACCGTTACAGAAGAATAGTCAGCAATAGGACAAGACCTGAAATGAACCCAGCAAAAAATTGAATCAATTTAAGTACCCGGAAATACAACGCTTATTCACACTGTCGTTACTAAGATGCACTTGGAGTAATTCGGATTTCACCTGACGAATCACCCCACCATGGAGCAAAATGAAAACACCAACTCAGAAAGATTTTGTTTTACCTGCATACTTGGTAAAAACTAATGTACATACACAAACAGGGCAGCATGATTGCAGTGGATTGAAGCGCAATGGAGTATGCACAGAACTTGCGGTGGCGGGGTAACAGATATAGCGAGAAGGATTGATGTATGCAGGAGACTTGGGCAGGGATGGGGTTATTATACACAGTGGAATCAGGTCAGTCTCTACAAACACGAACACACAAACACACACAGTTCCACAAGTACGGAGGAATTCCGGGTATCTCCGCCACCGCGATAATTTGTCCATTTTCCTTATAAAAGTATGACGAGAAGTAGTGAGGTGCAGTATGTTGAGGAGGCATGTACAAGAGGGAATTATTTGGTGGGGAAGGGACGTGGAAGGAGAAGGGAACCTTGCCGCTTAATAGCAGCGGTAGGTCTACGCAAGTTAACCCCTATAAGAATGTGATGTTGGAAGCAACGCCGGTTTGAAGGGAATTGTGCGCACACGCATGGGTGAGGATGGAGATGCATGCATGAAGGCGCGCAAAAATAAACTTTAAAGAGATGCATTAGGGACTGAGGGGGTGGGGGTGGTTGGGGACAAATACACAGAGGTAGTAGACATGAACGCTGCTCAGAGATGAAAATGGTGGAGTCAGTGAAAGAAAGACGACAAACTGGAGGGGTAGAGAGGAAGATAAGTTGGGGTCAGTAGGTCGGGTGGAAGAGCTGGCCTGAGTGCGCATGCTTGTCCAAGAGAGGGAAAGGATGGACACGAGGCATTTACCGTCGAAGGTCCAGTACAACAACCTGAAGTAAAACAAAGACAGACCATTTCCAGTGAAATTCCAGCTTTAAAATCTTTATTTGGATATGTGCAGTTAAACAGTCTCAGTCAAAGCGGTGGGAAATTACACGGCCAAACCTAGTTTGATGGTGCGTCAACCATCCACCAACTATTCATGAAACGAAAACAGAAAAATGACGACGAAAAGCACTTTTTATAGTTAGCAACACAAGTACCCAAGCATTTTCCCGTCAATTAGCCAAGACCAATGTCAAGTTCAGAATGATGAAGTTGTAATTGACTAAACGCGGAATACATTGTTGGTGAAAATGGGTTAGAAACAACGAGAAGCATTTGCGACGTCTCTACACACAAATTTAAATCATCAAACTAAACAGGGAGTGTAGAGGGCAAATTGAAATAATGCACTCGAAGAATTCAATAAGCGGCAGAACATCTGCCATAGAAGCCATCGATAACTCCAAACTAGGCTATGAATCCAAAACACATGCTAAGCCTGAAATGGAACGTGAGCCACCTAAAATACGGAGAAATTGATAGCATGGTAAACGAGGCATAAAAAATTGCGGAGCTTACGGAACCGTCTGAAGCACTGGCGCCCACTTTGTCGCCCCTGGAATTCCAGCAGACTTCGAATATGCCGCCAGTACCTCGGTAAGTATTTATTGGCTCACCAGTCTAAAAATGACAAGTGAAGAACATCGTCAATATCAGTTAAAAAAATAAACTTTGACAGATACTGACAGGTAACACAAAAAGGCGACACGATGGGAGCACGTGTCAAACAATTCGCGCGGCTCCGAATGCAAAATGCACTGAGAACCTGTTGGGGATCTATGATATCCCAAGATTGCACATTGTTTGTCTATGGCACTATTTACACTAATTCCCCAACATGTGTTTTATTACGCTTTTTATCAGGTCACTGTCAACCTTGACTTGAATGAGTTTCACTTTTGTTACAAGTGAGTTGTTAACTCGCTCCGCACGTGGCTGACGTGATTAAAGCTCTCTACGGGAGCTCTGGTCTTGTTTTTTGCATTAGCGTGGGAAGGTCGGTGCTAGCGTCAACAAGGGATCTGGTACCGTTATTTGAGTGGTTTTCACTTTGTTACGGGCAAGCGTAGCAGAACCATAGGAATTTCGATAGTGGGGTATTTGGTTACCTTTTCACAATCAGCACCCATCAGGAAACGTGGTCAAGTCATTATAATTGAGGACATGGATACATAGACAAAATTTGGATAAAGAGTGATCAAACTACGGAAAATTGAGAAAAAATAGACACTATGGCATTTAGTAAAATTTTCCAGTCTTACCAAAGGTAAAAAACATACAAATTGTAAGGAAAGAAGACAGTCTTGCACACGACTTATGATCAACCCTTTTATATCCTACGCAATCTGAATTTTGACTACTTACATGTCGGCAAAGCCTGATGCACACAAGCACACACAAAATAAGCAGTGTGTTCTAACCAACTGAATCGGTTTGTTAAGAACGAAAGAGGTGCCAATAGAGCGGACTAAACCATCACAGCAAAAGCGACATATTGGCGCAATCGAGGTCACAGACCGCTGTGGAGTCGGTCTAGATAGATCGATGAGTCAACAAAAACCACATCGAAGTAGCGGACGTGATGATGCGTGACAAGAAATTGTCATCGAAATACTCTAACTGATAAATTGAGGCGAAATACAGGTTGCCGCCTCAAAATAGCTGAATCAACCAGGAAAAGCACAAGAGCAAACATGATAGGCGCCAAATGATGCCGAACTTCACAATAGACGTATTCCCTCAGGAACGTTTTTGGTAGTCTTAGAGAACTTGCAACACCCGTAAAATTAACCAAGATTGGTCGACTTGTGAACATAAAGCAGAGCAGCTGCGCATAACTCGAAATCCTGCTAAATCGAAGGAAATCTGCTAGACCTTTGGATATTCGTTGACTACCTAAAAGGCGACATGTAGGTGTATTGTGAGTTTGATTACGCATAATTTGTGTAACGAAAGGAGCGGTTGTTAGAAACAACAATCTCCATTCTGGGAAACGAAGGCAAGAGGGCGATTGCCAAAACCAGTTTTGAGTTAGGTTTTTATAAACCAGACGAGTTTTGTTTCGAGGGTGAACGGAAATTAGACGGCGCACAAGTACACCGCCGATGACAACCTTGTGGTTGAAAGTATTAGCGACCGTAATATCACAAAACAACGCTACCAAGGCGATGTTTGACACCAGTTCGATTGATCATGCTTGGAAGTTATTAGTGCAGAGACGACTGGTATACGAGACTATTTACAGCGGTATTCAGTGGTTGTGATTCAATTGAAATGCCAGTACGTTGACAACAGCACTGGTGTTTTTTGTGTTTTTCCTTGTTTTCGATACGTACTGCTGATTCAAATTCTGAGTAGATTTTGTCATTTTATAACTTATTTATTGACATAGGTAATTGCAAAAGAGCATTTTTTTCCAGGTGAGTCTTTGAAGGATACGAAGTAGTTTATTAAACGGCCATAATTCGTGAACAGGTTATTCTAATTTCGTTTATATTGTTTCGTCTTCTGTTTTAGCTAATGAGTCACCGTCGAAACTATTTCCTTCCTCCAAGGTGGCTGAAATGCCCTCGTGTCGGAAGTCTACTTGTTGATTTATTCATACCGTTCAAAACTCCTCTTGATTCTAAGTTTGCCGATGTTATTCCACCTGATGATATTTTTGATCCCGAAAGTCTGTTTGATTATGTCAGACCGGTTAGTTTTCCTATTTTCCTTGGTTATTGATTTTTACCACTGCAGCATTAATTGATCTATTTGAAGGCTTGCACTTGTTTAAGAATTGTGAACACATATTTTTGTTGGTTTTAATCTCGTTTTTTAAGAATTTTCATCTGGGTTTTTTAGTATCGGCTGGGTCTTGTTTTCGACCTAACGAAATCGACACGCTTTTATCATCGCAAAGAAATCGAGAATCATGGCTGCACTTACTTGAAAATAGCTTGCAAAGGCAATGAGGAGTGTCCAACTGAGGAACAAGTTAAGCTCTTTACTGATGTTGTTAGGAAGTTCGTGGCGGACGATAAGAATGTTGGAAAAAAAATCGGGGTTCATTGCACTCATGGATTTAATCGAACAGGCTTCCTCATTGTTTCTTACATGGTTAATGAATGTTATTACAGGTACATTGTCATAGATGGTTGCTTTTCAGTTTCATGTTTTGCTTTCTTTTATTTAGGGTCTAGTTTTTTCTTCTTATCCTAGTGAATTTTGGTTGCTATAGTGATATAGTTGTCCGAAGTGTGCATCGCAATATACTTATTCCACTTACGAAACCATTTGTTTGGATATTTCTACGTCCCATCTGTTTAGCTCGCTTCCGAGTCTTACAATTTTCTGGGACGATTCACGGTCGTTGAAGTCGCTTATTAACTAGTCATGTTTAGTTTCGATGAACTCCCTTTCTTTTGAAAGAGAGTCTTCGAAAGATTAGGGATCAAAGTATTTGAGAGTTTTGACCCATAAAGTATTAGGTTTTAAAAAGTTCAGAAAAATTGCATAGCTTTGGACTAGGGTCGGTCGAGCCTTTTTTATCAAAGAGCATGACTGCACGACCTTGTGAGTTTTGAAATCAAATTTCAAGCTCCTATGGGCAGTTTTGTCTGCAGTCAACAACTACTTTTTAATAAGTGGTGTAAAGCGCCTTGTTCGCTTAAAGGCAGCCTGCAAAATGTTGGGTTTGGTAAAAACTTAGCCCCTGTCAGCTTTTATGAGACTGTTTTGGCCTTTCGCTGCACTTTATTTTGAGTGTGACTTTCATTCTTTTTGACCAATCAACGGCTTGACGTAACTCGATGGCTCATTATTTGGCCTGGGTAACAAAATGGGTATTTTCTCAAATCTCTAGTCTGGAGCTCGCTTTAAAGCTATTCGCCGATGCACGCCCCCCTGGAATCTACAAAGCGGACTACCTCATGGAGCTTTATAAACGATTTGACGACCCAGCTGACTGCATTCCTGCGCCTGATCTTCCCGACTGGTGCCTTGGTGTGTTCAGCGTAATGCTACTTGATTTATTTTGTGTATAACTATTCTGTTGGCGACACTAAATATCCTTGCTTCGCGTCCCATGTTTGTTTGCCATTTCAGTCCCCATCAAGCACACATGGACCATGCTCAAAAAAAGAGCAATCTAAGATAATTAATCAATGTTTTAAGTGCAACGCTGCAATCAACTAGACTCCTCATGTTCACAATGGTATTAGTGTTGTCAGACGAATTTATCTCTGAAACCACAGTAATTATGTCTCACTGCCAAACGACACAACATAGTTTTCTGCCGTGTTGAGCTAATTGAATGGGGTTATAGTTGTCACCCACGGATTAAGTTGTGTCGTCCAAAAAGCTTCTCGTAGTAAAACAGTCAGGCCATAGTGAGTTCGTTTCTTCCCAATATTATTGGAATCTGTTCCCCAGTAATTTTTCTCCCAACTCCTCAACCACTCACGGAGTTGATTTAGTAGTACATTCTGGATTACACCAAAAGTGCCCTTTTCTTTTAGATGGGCATGATGGGTCTGGAACTCCAAATCTGCTAAAGCATAAACACCCAGACAGTCCAGGTGAAAATGTCACCGACGCCACAGACGAGAGTATTGTCTCAGTCCCCTCGAAATCTGCCCGCCTCAGTGAAGATGTCTCTCGACTCCCAGTTCCTCCTCCTGGCCAGCCGAAATTTATGAATGGCGTGACTGGTGTGCGAATTCTGGATCAGAACGCATTCGAAGCCCATCACGTCCGTGCAATTGTGGATTACCTAATCAAACTTGGAGGGATTCAAGCAAGAAGAGAGGAGGAAGAAACAGCAACCCCCAGCGCCATCGCTGATGATGTCTGCACAGAACCCATTAACCTCGCACTAAACTTCGATCCCATGCTCCGCTTCCGTGGCAGCCAACCTGTTTCAATGACACGTCAAAACGCCCGGCTCATCGTGGACCAGCCCTACGCAGTAACATACAAATCAGACGGAACGCGCTACCTCATGCTGGTACATGGACCGGAAAAGGTCTATTTAATTGATCGGGCAAATTTCGTCTACAAAGTCGATTGTCTTCAATTTCCTACTGCCGGTTGGCTTCAAACAGCCCTACGAGCACAAAAAAATGGGGAGAGGCCAAGCGACTTCATGACTGAACCTGGCGCCCATCTTGTTAATACCCTGTTAGATGGCGAATTGGTAGCTTTTGATAATACTCCGGACAGGCCGTTCAAGTTTCTGATTTTTGATGCTGTGATAATTCAGGGATACCCGTGTGGCAAGAGACCGTTTGAAAGTCGGCTCGAGTACATTGAGAAGTATGTTGTGCGACCAAGAAACGACGCGGGCCATAATCAGCTAGTTGACTTCTCCAAACAAACTTTTTCAGTGAGGAAGAAACCGTTTTTCCGATTGGACCATGTTGCGGAGGTTGGTCTCGTTCATACACAAGTGCCTTCTTCAATTAACTGTTCAAGAGTGTTTTTTGGTTTGCGATATATTTTTCTGCATACTTGGTTTTTTCAAAGAGTAAACTGAATTCGCTTGAAAGGAGGAGAATGGATGAAGCTTGGTTAACTGCAATGAATACAGTCGAACCCGACCAGGAGTTTTTAGTAATCTAACTTTTTGCGGTTTTTTGTAAGTTTAAAGTAAACTGTGGGTAAGAACGAGTCATGAAAGTGCAACTTTTTTTCCGTAAGCTTCACTGACTATCTCAGTCCACGAGGATCTAGTCACTGGTAGCCACTTTTGGAAGAGTTAGAGCATAGGAATAATCAGACATCTAACTTGGATTTTCATAGGCCTTTTCAGTAAGAAAAGCATGGGAAACACGACATAACAGCGGACCATGTTTTCCGAAATAAACGCATGCTTTCGGCAACCAGGTCTTAATTTGTTATCGTACAATTAAATGTACATTGTCCTGCCTTCACTCTGTTTTGTCGATGTCATGATGTGATTAATTAAACAGTGTTACTATCTTTCTAATTGACAAGTGGCTTTTCTGCTGCAGTTGCTTCAGTTACGACGCGAAGCTCTACAGCACAAGACAGATGGTTTAGTTTTCCAGCCGGCGGGACCGAACGACTTCTATGTGCTTGGCACCTGCAACGAGACGTTGAAGTGGAAGCCACCGGAATTGAACACGATCGACTTTCGTTGCAAGGTTTACCTGCACACGGCTCCAGGGTAAGCGAATATCGGTTCTCCGAATCAGTTCTGGCTGAATCGCCGGCCAAAGTGGTCGTGAGACTGCTAAATCAAGGCATCTACTTGGTTTATGCAATCGTTACGGCTCAAAACAGAACGTTGAAAGCCCAAAGTTAACTGCTCACATTACCTTAATAATTGGACTCCTTTTTATTTTACGGACTTTTTCAGCAAGGTGTGATGGCACGTGTTAGGTGCCAGCTCTAAGAAGGCCACCACTCATGAGTATGACTAAACAAAAATGAATATCTCAATTAGACTGGGAATTCGGTCGTTTGAACACACGGTGGTCCTCATAATATGAATGGGAGTAAATCTTCCCCCCTCGTACATTTTTTTCAAGGAAACAAACCTTGTTATTTATTTTTTATGAAGTGCAGAAAGCATGGCTCGTTTCGACGGATGTTTGTCCTATTCGGACTAAAACGTGGTTCTTTTCTAGTACGAATACGGACAGCGTTCCAACATCGCGATTTTGGACTGTTTTTACACTTAATCTTTCAGTGAAGTGAGCCGTTACGTTGGAGAATTGTACCTGGGCGGCTCCCCCGTACCCAACGCTCATCTTGTACACGTCACCTCCAAAGACAAGGCGTTGGACGGAAAGATCGTCGAGTGCCAAGTCGACCGCGCCCTCGGGGGTTGGAGGGTGCTACGAATTCGAACCGACAAGACCGACCCAAACCACTTATCCGTTGGAAAGCGTAAGTACATTCCCACATGCAGTGTCTGCCACGTCAAATGCTCGTAATGAAGCTTGACTACTTGCCATGCCCAGGGGTGGACATTTAATAAAGTATTCATTCCTGTTCCACCATTAAGACACTGACCGCCGTAAAGTTTGTCGTCCTATAGCACTGGTGCACACTGTCCCACCGTGAGTTCGGGATAGCCTACTCACCTTTCTGTCAAATCGTCTGGGTTCCAATCCCGACTTGTGTGAATTTCTGTCTTGGTGGTAGTTTTTTACGAAACCTAGTTGAAGCATTCCTTCAAATTCTCATGTTTCTCACAAATCTCTTTGTTGCGTCGTGTAATGTTCTAATTCCTTCTTCCAACAGCCGCAATAGTTTTGTGCATTGGCACCAGCTGCTATTGGTATTATCATTACGCATTTGCAGTTAACGTGCTTACTCTGTGGTCTTCTAGTAATTATGGAAAGTATCCTCTTCCCGGTAACGGCAGACGATGTTATCGTGCTAGTCAACATGTGGCGACATGCCTGTCTGCGTGAAAAGGAGGAGCGGATGAAAAGAGAGGGAACTTACAGGGCACCTCACACAGGTGCCCCCAGTGGCGATGACGTGTCTTGACTGCTTTTTTCCTCACTCCGTTGATATTTTTGAGTTCTAAAATGCTTCTTGTAAATACACCATCTAATTCATGCTGAAGACATGGTGATCTCAACAATGAAGTGGTTTTTGGCTGTTTATTCAATTTGATAAGTCCTACGAATAATTAGTTCGTGTTTACTGCGGGCAGCTTTTGTGCCAGGGACCAGTCATTCTGTAATTGTGTGAATTCAGAGGTGAGCATGGGGTTATGCGTCTGTTTGATCGAGTATATTACCCGTGGATACTCATCCGATATCGCCAGCAACCATTATAAATCGGCTGGTTTAAGTGGGTCTCCAAAAAAAAGATGCGGAAATTTCGAAATACCTACCCACTTTTAGCGGGGTGCGCATTCACGCGGCTCGCGTGTAAGGCGGTGGGCAAGCGATGTCGGTAAACGATGCTCTGCGCGAGGCCCCGCACACAACCCACTAGTTTTCAGCACTAATTTTCGAAAAGGTTCGAGGAGGTTTGAACAGAACAAAATCTGCTCCACGTTGTCCAATTTCGTGAATGACTTTGTGCCATTGGTAATTCCACTCCAATTTAAATGACGGACACCAAGCATGCCAGTTAGCCATTGAAGCCATCGCACATTGTCGTCTCACAAATGATACACACGAAACCCATGGTATTAATTAGATTTTTTTTAAAAATGTTAGTAAATGCATAGTGATTGTGTGCATGTAAATGATGATGTTGATAGTAGATAGTTTTTGGCTAGTGTTCTGAAAAAATCTTGACGGTCGGTTCCTCAGGACAGAAGTCTGTTTGTAAAACCGCGGCATCAGAAAGGGCTCCCATCCCAATGCGCACCCGATAAATTCCGAATAGCAACTTTTCAAAGAGGGAGGATTCCTGAAATCAGATAATGGGGATTAGAACACATGAAATAACTTCCATTTATAATACCGAAAAGGATTCGCCGCATGGTTAAAATAAAAAAAAACGGGCACATTTTATCAACCGAGCGGCTTGTTCGGACTTCATTAAAGTTACCTTGCCGTGCTACTCGGACATCTACGACGGAGTAAGGAGTAAGCAGGTTAAAAGTTGGCGGTAACCCTGGCATTCTATAGCTTGAAAAATGTCACACTTTTCCACTGGTGCATTTTTTAAAATGTAGAGTTAAAATTGAAACACGAATACAATTTCTTTGGCACTGCGTAGATTATAACCAATTTGTTCTTATGAACAAAATTACGAACACACTTTCTAGTATAATTCGGGAGGAATTGTTTAGGATGCAGGAATAAGAGGTACATCGGGAACGTGTGCTTTTAAATTTATCAGAAATGGATGGCAGTTCTGTTTCATTTGCATGAAAATCAGATTGCACTAAGTACATTCACGGGCTGTACAATTGAGGCTGTCTTTGCTGAACGTACATGTCGGTGGCTTACGGTACGTATTGTCCACGTAAGTCAACACCACAAGATAAACGGCATGACCTGACATCCAATAATAGGAGTGACAGGAGAATGCAAAACGGCGTTGTCAGAGCAAAAACTTGATGAAAGCAAACGCCTATGTGTCCCAATAAAGATAGTGGTGTGTACACAAAAACAACCGCACACCTGGTCAGTTTCATGGGTCGGTCCATGAACCTTACTACGAGTCTGGTCACGCTTCGCAGGCGTTTCCAAACTTAGAGAATTGAGCCCACCCTTGTTTAATCGGCTGCCAAGAACGAAAACACGGAATCCGGGAGACTCATCGACGTCTATCGGGCTGCTTGGGGAAATCGAGGACGTCGCGTAGTTCTTGAGAAGAGACAGATCAGGACAGGGTGTGCGAGAGCCGTTGAAGTAGGCACAAGTGTAGACGGGCGTTGCTTGTTTGGAACGTGGGGGAATCACAAGACCGTCCTACAAAATTTGATACCAGAACTGCTAGGTCGTTGATATTTATCGACTTCTGGAGCTCCGTGACCAGTATGACAACCAAAAACCAAGTTAACGAAATGGCTATTCGATGACTGAGCATTTTGTTCAGTGTTCCCTTTCTGACTGGCCACGAATTTGAGACTGAATAGATATTTTGACTAAGGGTGGAAGGTCGTGAGGATTATAAAGATGACCAAACAGCTTACCTGTAAGTCTACACAGGCAACATAGAGTAAAATAAGTTCGTCCAAAGCCAATCCTTCGCCAAAACTACTGAAATATTCTGAGTAGTGGGGCGGGGTGTTGAAAGTCAGTTGTAGAGGTGCAGTTACGTTAGTGTTGGAGATAATCTGGACGGGAATGAAACTTAGGGATCGTGGGGTTATTGACTGCATAGAAGTTGGGTGACCCGGATCGACAAGGAATGTGCCTACTGGCAGACTTGAACGCACCAGGTTGGTGAGATAAGTATCAAAGCTAGGAAAGCAAAAGATAGAGCCAATTACCTAAACTGTTCAATTTTATAGAGAAGTGTCAGAACCACATAGTATCTCAAGCGGTTCGTAGCTCGTTGACTGGATGCATTTAAAGCCCAAGTTTAGGTATCGAATGTAACAATGAGGGTTCTACCTCTGGTGATAGGAAATTGGCTAGGATTAGAAAAACACCTATTTAACGGAGACTGCAAAGACATTAGTGGCCAATATGAATATCCCCATTTTGCTGGAATACTTTCAGGATACCATTAGAATTCGGGCTCATGATTAGTTGAACCCGCTGCATCGTAAAATTGAGTCATCGAAGGATTGAACTCTTGTGATAATTGTTAACAACGCACTTTCGATTTGTGTTAATGAGAGCATTCTGCATCTCCTGTTGACAGAGGTGTCGTGCCAACTGAAGGGGGAGGAGGAAGTGTGTCGATCGGACTGAAGAGCACGGGATGGGGTTCGCTCCGTAGGCGAGCAGAAGAAGGACGTTAGGTACATGTCCCCGACGGATTGCCTACGAGCAACAAAAAAACAATGCTTTCGCATAATGTGAGTTGCACGAAACTCTACGCAAAGGTTTGGACAACTGCCCTGAGATTGCTCTAGCAATTCGCAACAGATTCTTGTAAAAAACTGACAATCAACCGAGACACCATGGTTGGGGCATACTTTGAGTATAGTGGATTCTCCAAACAAACCAGCCTACGAATCATAGAAAGCAAACGCCATCGTGAGTGACTCTTATCATGTGACTTTCTCACGCAAACGCCGGCCCAATTATCAGCAAATGATAGTTTCAAAGACATACCCTCAAAAGAGCGGTGTCTGACTTCAAATTGGTGGCGTCCGGGTTCGCTCCCCATTGAAGAAGCACAATCTGTGTCATTATGTGTCCCTATACAGGAAAAGGGGATTCATGGAGATGGCATTGTAGGTAGGCGGAATTGATCAAATTAGGTAATCGAGATTTTAACCTATTAACAAATTTCGAACAGCGCAGAAGCTGCTGATGAAAGCAGAACATGCTCCGTCAAATGTTGATGGAACCCGCTTAGCATTGAATAGATGAATGTTTGATTTGTTTATCTGACGCCCTTTGCCACTACACCGGAATCAAGAGCCACTGATTCTATGCTTCAATGCCTATCAAATTGTGGATTTCAATACACTGATCATTCGCCAGGACAGCAATGTTAATGATTTCAGAAAAGCGCAAAACATGATAAAGAAAGGCAAGATACCTTCCAGTGATAAAGTAAATGAGAATTGATAAGTTACCGATAATCGATGCATCTACCTCTGTCGTTTTTAAGATTACACGAGTAAACTAAAAAACTGCGAAATTCGAGATAGCAAAGTGAAAGTTACAAATTTACCGGTCGCAGTGATGCCCACCGGAAACAATGACCGTCACAATCTACTTTACATGTTCTTAATGCATGTCCACATCAGATGAAATCAAGGACAAAAGCCATTCCAAATGTCGCGATATAAGGAATGGCAGAGGCGGGGAATTGTAGACGTCATCCAAAAGCTGTTTCAGAATTGCACTGGATTCCTTACGACTAACAACGAAGTCCACATGAAAGTCAACGGACTTAAAATTTAACATTATGAGGTTGGACGAACCGGCTGCAAGCTCGGCGATGCCATCTTGGTTTAGCACCTGACAAAAAAGCCACACAGTTGCTGAACCTGAATGATTAACGGTGCTACTTCCACCGGAGACCTTAATACCAGTACTGTTTGGGTACAAAGACAGACAATCGTTTCAAGTCGCCAAGAGGGGTTTCTATTAAGAGGACCAGCAAAAAAATCTGAAAAAAAAAAAATAAACACAAACACAGGAATATCCTGTGTTACCAAAAGACCGGCGACTTTGTAATGACCATAAATGTAGCATGGGACCTATAAGTTTTTTTTATAAAAAAAAGTGTTAAGCACGTAATGCCAAAAAAGGAACAACGTTTCTACAAAGTCGACCGAGACGTGAGCTTACGGCGGCAGCTGCTGCCATGAGAGCAGTTGACTCGGTTTGGATGGACTTAGCGTTCACGTCTGCCCCGTGGCGCAAAAGCAATCCGGCAATATCGGCGAAACCTACACAAACACAACAAAAGTTGAAGCTCGCTAAGCAGGCCACACCACAGCTGACATCGGCGAGTCAGTTTGCAGCCTAAAAGAACAGGTCCGTGAAGCTGTAGGGTGCAGGGAGAGTAGTTTACGGGTGAGACATTAAATCACCACAACCTTAGCCACACAGGAACCTTTGCCTCCGTTTAAGACTACTCAAGAATACAACACTTACTAGTACTGCAAAAGTAATTAAAAATTCACGACAGCACAACACAAACTCACAGTACATCAGGATACTGCTTCCTTTTTCATACCCATTACGGGAACATGAAGTGACAGCTCACTCCATAAACCCACTGCTTCTTATGAAAACGTTTAAATATAGCTTGTAGAGAGCAATATCCAAGGTTTGTGGGCAAATGTATTTGCACACAGTTACAAGGTTCCATATCAACAAAGACAGATAGCAAAAAACATCGAATTCATAGCCACAACGGACATACCCCGTTTAGCCGCGAGTGCCAGGTAGCGCGGTTCAATGGCTTTGTTCAAGTTCGGTGGGTTCGGGAGGGAGAGAATTCGGCAGACCTCATCGGTGTCTCCAGCATACACTGCGTTATACAGGGCCGCCTCGTCTGAAGCTAAACCTCAAAAAGCAAATATCAGAATAAGAATTAAGGGACAATTACAAAATGAAAAGGGGAATATCGACCTTGTTACAAACGAATTTTGATTGGGTCTCAGGTGCGTTGAAAATGAGTACCCGAGAAAAAGAGACAACGACGGGACTAGAGTACGGGCCGTCCGTACACTCTGCCAACTGAGTCGCGCTTACTCGCTTGCCAAGTGAGTCTAGTTACTAGTATGCAAACCATGGGCACACGGTCGATTTTCTTAGAAATCAGGTCCTATCTAAGTAAATCCTTTCAGCCTGATAACAAGGGCGGATCAATTTTTGCCAATATCATAGATACATCAAAACACGTTTGTAAAAAGGCCGATGGTCCAGTTGTGAGATATATTTTGTCAATAAACTAAAAACTTTGAGGTACAGAATCATGTTATACAAATTTTGTATTGAATATCTATGGCACAATAAGTAGCAAGAAAAAAGGCAACGATAACGGCTTTCAAATTCAATCTTAGTCAGACCGAAATAGTGCATTTTCCAAAGCGTATAATTTAGAAAATCGCTCCGTAGCTTAGAAAATAATGACACTGGATATTTTGATTCAGGGTGTTTCAATAAATTCCCAAAAAGATCAAAAATCCGGAGACAAGAGAGTCATTGGAGCACGAAGGTCTTAAAAACTGTACCGATCATGACTACCACGAATTTCGGCGGAGAAACGTTAACAAAATAAGCTGAGAGGGAAAACTTACATGGTTGTGTCTGAGATGCAATTAGTCTGGCTGCTTGCCCAGACGATGACACCTAAAAAACCAAGCAGCCATTGACCTCTCGCGAAATGAACTTCTGGAATAGGAAGGATCAATGTATTTTCCAGAATGTGTTAACATTTTGCACTTCAGGGGAACAATTTCGCAAGTAAACGAACAGAAAATATGCGACAAAATAACACCCGGGCGTTTCAGACAGAATACACGGGATATAGCCGATGTTTGGGTGGCACTAACCTAGAGTGTTGAAATTGAAACCCTTACATAGTAATTTGCAAAAAAAGGGAGACGTTTTTGTGAGTTGCGACGAATCAAACGTAGCTCCAGAAGCCTAGCTTGAAGCCTACAGCACCCACACAAAAACACTTGGGCACGGGAAAAGTGGCAGATTAGCCCCACCACTCGATTGCCAATCGATGCTCTGTCTGACAGAAGACGTTTGTCGCCAGGCTCAAAAAGTCACGCCAAGTGCGTACTATTGTGGTGCTGCAGCTCTACTGCTCACCAACCACTCAAGAGCTCAACATGAGCCCTGGGTAGAGTGGTACATGATGCTAATGGACCACCAGCAACCACGACGGTAGATAGGAAGTTAGGGTGTCTTGCTATGGTGCTTGGGCATCAAAGTGGAAGCCTTGCTATACACATCGAAACCTAACGTCCTAAACTTCGAGGACGATGAACTCATAAACAGGTTGAACTACATGGAAGAGGCCTATCAAGTTCGATAAACAAACATATTTTAACACAAGCAGTCAAGAGATGAGACAAGGTAGCACGTACTGAGCCTGGTTGGCGAGCTATGTTCACTTGAAGAATTCCAGAAGGCACTGAATAGAAGAAACTTTTAGAGAAAGTGAAATCTCACAAGGGATACGCTCAAACGCAGGCTTCGATTTAACCATTGACTCTGTAAAACTGCCTACGTTTTCGGCGGCAGGTTTGTTGCCCAAACTCGAGACAGACAGAATCTAAAACATCAAACAAGGACTGAAAAATTGATCGTGAAGAGGCAAGGTAATAAAAAAAGGATTTTATGGAATCACGCAAAAAACGATTTCCTGTTAATAGCCTCTGAAGCTGGTGAACTGCTCTCATTGGTCTGGTGTGTATGCACTAAACAATGACGGGGCGTGGTAGGCTTCTGATTGGACGACCGTTCGTGGAAAATCAGAAGACAATTACAATCGATGTATCGATTAAACACGAATTATTCGCAAATAATGGCACTACTCATGGCATTGGACCAAATCAGTTCAACAAGCATTAGCAGTTTCTCAATCTTGATTAAAACCTGATATTTACACACACTCACACACAGACACGTGTTCCGTGCCAATGAAAGTTGGTGGGACTGAGTTCAGATCTGGGTTTTGGACAATACCTAAACAGGTATTCAGCGACCCTGGCAAACCGCGACCCCCACTATGGGGAACGAGAAGCAGATAACATCACTTGACTACAAAAGCTATGTACTAAATATTTGCACGGCTGAATTCCGGCTCGACTGTTTTTTCGAGAAAAAAAATACCCTGTGGACAAATACGGCAGCGTGGTTGGCCGAACTTCCCACTAGTTTAGAAGTAAATCATCGTTAAACAAGCAAATATTGTGCTACAGGGTCGATGGGTGAAATCTTCCACGTTACTTAGCTTTATACCACTAAGAAATATTAACAAGGTCGAGTGGCACCAAGTTCTTTTTGGAATAATCATACAATCATGCTGCGTTTCATTCGCAGCGCTACGAACACGGTTCGGGTTTGGCGAATACACACCGCGATACGCAGTTTTATGGAATATCTAAGTTATTTCCAAGTGGAATGATTAATTTTGCTAGCTGACTTTACTCATAAAGCACAACTACCTTCGTATCCACACCGCTACACTTAAGATACAAAAAGTATCTTTAGAGGCAATGTTTATGCCGCATTTGATGCAAACCGAGGTAGCGTACAAGACCAATATTGACGACCTGCGATTGCTTCTGCGCCAGTTTTAAATCGTTCCACCGCTGACTAGTGAGCCTTTAATTTTCAGGTGAACAGCTATTAACCCAAAAACGGATCAGAATTTAAGGCGGTACGAAAATATGTCTGATGCATTTAAGGATTACAAGCAAATGTGATTGCGTGTGTTTGTGGCATTTTACTCGCGCCTGTTACCACCCAGTTAGATGTCCTGTCAAATTGAAATATGCTCGCTTTAATTAGACTTTAGAAAAATATTTTGATCCAGTTTCTAGTTCTTGTGAAGGCATTTGTGAATTCAGGAAATAATCGAAGTAATCTCATGAGCCATTCTGAATATCAGGCTTCCTCAACATTTTAAATGATTGATATTCTCCAGTTAAAAATTACAAAGGAAATAATCAGAACCGAAATCATACCAATATTTCGTTCTGCTTCAATTTGTGTTTAATCAAATGGAGACAGGCATCAAAGGCAGTGCCAAGACTAGCGTTTCTGGAGCGATGAGTTGTTTAGTAAGATATGGCACTCAGGTGAAATAACTTCCATTAAAAAAAGCTAGATCAAACCTTTTGTATGTTGACTTGTACACAACATATGATTGGTGAGCAGACAATTTTTACACATTCTTTTTCGATTCCAAAACCGCAGACGATGATAATGTTGTTTGCAAGCCTTACAAAGGCTCACTTGTCACAATAAATTATTTTGTTGAAACGTGGATCAAATGGTTATTATTGCCTGAGTGTTGTTCACAATCTAAAAAATTTTTTGTCATTAAATAAAATGAAAAAAAAAGCGGTGCAGAGATAGAACTCAACAATCTTGAAAGTGTAAAGACCAAGTAGATTTGCGATCTGACAACCTACAGCACGCACCGTAAACATTCGAGCAGAGGAGTGTCGGAGTTGATCTAAATGATTGAATTTAATGACAGAAGGATACCTAGACGAAACTAAGCAACGTGGGCTTTACGCGTCCCGTTAGGAGTACCAACAATCAGTACTCACAGTTAATGAAACAAGAAGAATAGCGATCAGCGAAAAGCAGTTATTAATTAGTAGAAACTTCGTAAAATGCGTGCAATGCCACCGATTCTAGAGGCAATGAACACACGCGCACCAAATACATTGACAATTTTTACGGTTTGTCGCGAAGTCTCCTGAGTTGTGCGCACTTAACACGTCATCGACGTTTGAAAGTGGTGGGCTGCAAATGGGTTTAACTACGTACTGCAGAAAACCACGACAAACTACAAAGCCAGAATGCCCCTTTCAGAAAAAGCTGGACTTGATGAAATTTGCATCGCAATACCCTACATGCATCAAGACTTGATCGAGTATTATTTTTGATAGCAGAAATGGCAAATGATAAACTCAGCCAAGTGAGATTCATTTCTCTAACAGAGGTTGTGTACGGCATGGACCACAACTCACGCGAAAGTACCTTGCACCATGCACAAACCGCGATGATTTCAGTTTGGTGTTACCCAGTACTGTGCAAACAATGGCACCCAATGCCTTTCGTTTGTTGTGTGTGCTGAGCTAACACAAGACGACTTCCGCATTTCAAGAGCTTAACCATGATTGTAAGGGACGTAATACATTTTAACACATCAGGCACCATTGTGATAACGTTTCTGTGGTTTAAATTCAGTGCTGTGTTGCGAGCACTGTATCTCAACTAATAATACAGAATTTACAAACAATTACAAAACACAACTTTGTGAATGACCAGGACTGACTTCATTACATTTAATAGGATTGCTAGTGGCAGAATTTTCGAAAATTTGAAGTTCTGTTTTGAACGATATGCACATCCGGAGGAATATTTTGTGGTTTCTGAGTGTATCTTCATTTTACTACAGACAAGTTCTTGCGTGAGAACTTTGATATTAAGTTTTTACATAACATCCGATTACAGCACTCCATGAAAGAACATTCAAAGTTTGTGTCCTGTGACAACAAACAGCATCAAATAACTTCACAAAGTTAACAGTACTTCGACGTTACTCTCTGGCGACAAAGGAAGCAGGATTTGGTGAATTGATGACGTTAGTAAAGGACTCTAGTGTGTCTCACAGTGTGTTTCAGTGTCAAAAATCCAGAAGATCGTCGGTGAAATTCAGAGACTGACAATACATTGATGCCGAGTTTCCCAAGAATGTGAACAGATTTTAACAACGATGGAGTTTTAGAGAACATCATATGGGAGTTTATGTGATTGTCAAGAATCGTCTCCCACGGCTCCTTGTGAAGATATCAAAGATTAGGAAACATCTTCACCAAATAGTGCCTTTCAATTAATAAGCAGCTTGAAAAGCGAGTGGTTCCAATGACTACTGCACCGCCATTGGCCAGACGGTGTCATGCAAAAATAAACCGGACCACGTACTGGGAGTGCATGCGACCAAAATTGTGATAAGTGGGAAGTTTAAGGAGAAAAATAGCTGGGACGTTCACACACAAAAAAATAATTCGAGAAATAAAACGAGACATCATGAAT